CAACATGCTCCATGCTCCTGAATTTACTAAAAATTCTACCAAAGTAAAATTTTTTAAAAAATAAAGTAGTAAAGAAAGATGTTAGGAAATGACATTCTCAGCTATGTCAATGAACAAAAAGAGAATAGGAGGAAGACAGGTAGCATCAAGAGGGAAAGAGGAAAGAAATGGAAATTCAGTAAAAAGAGGAGTTGGTGAGTGGAAAGGAAAATAGAAAATATTAACAAATAGAAGACAAGGGATATCAAGTAGATTGGGTGCAATGAGGAAAGACAAAAAGAAGGATGGGGAAGAAAATAACAAGAAATGAGTGAGGCAGGAGAGAAATAGGGATGAATGTTACAAAAAGTTATCCTCCCATGGGGACAGTAAATTGGAGTCCATGGGCCAAATCCAGCTTTTTTGGGGGTGCTTTTTTGTAAATATAGTGTGCCTGTTTATCCAGACATCATCCATATCTCCTTTTCTACTACAGTAGCGGAATTGAGTAATTGTGATGGAGATAATAACAACCCACAGCTTAAATATTTAATGTCTGATTTTTAAGAAAAAGTAGTCTAACCTAGGGGTACTCAAATCTCTATGTAAATCATTGGAATTACCTAAAGTGCCAATAACAACATAGATTATGGAACCCCATAAACTCTAGGATGGGAGTTGAAATTCTCTCTCTCTCTCTCTCTCTCTCTTCCTCCCTCCCCTCCCTCCCTCTCTCTTTCCTGCTCTGCTGGGGATTGAACTCAGAGCCCTTCACACATGCAAAGCACATACTGCACCCTGAAGTACATCCTTAATCCCTGAAATTTTCATTTCTAATAACTCCCCAGATGGTGCTGATGTTATTGGTCCAGAAACCACACTCTTGAGAATCTTGCTTTCATCTTCACATTATATGACACAAATATTGCTCCAAATAAAGGGCTTTGTGCAAAAAAATCAAACTCAATCTTTCTTTTATATAAACATTGATACATTAGTTGATATCATAACTGTTTACAAAGTTTATATTTTGAAAAACTCTTGGAGCTGAATCTTTTTATAATCCTGGGTTCATTCTTACAGCAAGGAAAAATGAATATGATATAGTTTAAATCTTGGTTGATTTGTGGTTTGTTCTTTGGTTTGACTCAACTCTCCAAGGCAGCACTGGACTATGTTAGTGTTAAGCTGGGAATGTGCTAGTAATATGCTATATCCATTTTAGAGGAAGCACCTCTCCTCACCCGTGGGGGGCTGCCTACTCCCTCTTTCTGGCACTACTGAGAAAGTAAGTGGGTTGGGATTTTGTTTCCCACCACCTGATCCCACTTCCAGACTATGTTGGAGTCTTCTAAATTTGACCCACATGTAAATGGTGGTTTTGTAGGTAGATTTGGTCCTGAAGATGGGCATAAACACTGTCCTGGTGTGAGACCTTGAGAATCATCATATCAAGAACTTCATCCAACCTAATGTCTCGGGCAAGCCCCTAAGGTCTCTCTTCTTTTTTTTTAACTGTTAGTTGTTCTGTGGTTTGCACAGTTGTGATCTTCCTTTATTTCTTTTCTTTGGTCTGTCCTTTGCTGGGGACAGGGACACTTAATGATTAGCCTTAACTTTGCATCCTCTTTGCTTACTGTGAGAAGTTTTATGAAAGACAGAGAAATGTTTCTTCTGTCTTAGCATGTGGGACTATAAAGGGAAACATTATTTTAGAAACTGAAAGTGCCAAGGATACCTTCAGAATAGAGTGAGTTCAAGTTAAAATTAGCAGCTCTTGAAAACACTTGATGGTTTGATTGGATCATTGCCCTGAGTGGCTACTTCCTTTTACACATAACTGAGACGGATGGGAAATTAAAAAGTCGGTTTCTTTTCACAAGGAAGCTATGCTAAAGTTGAATTGTTTTTAATTCTGATTTTTTAGTTCTAGAGGATTTCTGGATTTTGTGAAAACTTGCCGCACATGAGAAAGTAAATCATGGATGTCAAGGAAGGCGTTTTGTGCTTCCCTGAACCAATTACTCATTTGAGGAATCCCATTATAACAAGTTAAATATCATTTATCAAAAATCTGTGCAAAGTGTTGATTGTATTTTCAACACCCCAGAAGCTTATTTTTAAAGAAACCCTGTGATGAATTTTCTATAAAGTAGGCTTACCTTCTATCAATATCACATCTAAGAGTCTTGTGGGTTAAAATTCCTTCAAATTCCACTCAAATAAGTCACAAATTGTAATCAGTGACAGGAAAGATAACATTGGGAGTGCAGCATCACCTCTTCTCAGCTCTTCTTCCCATTCCATCTTCTTCTCTTCATGTTGCTTTTTACTTGAGCTCCCACTGATTTTAGCTCTGTCTTACCCAGCCAAACCATCACACTGATGAGTGGCATAGGATACAGGAGATGCTTAATAAACCAATGGGATCATCTGATCATCTGTTTCTGTTGCCCTTCTGTCTCCCATTTCCCCATTCGAAGAAGACATTGTGTGCATTGGAGCAGGAACAACCCTATTTTCAGACCTGTACTCACACCTGTAACCTGAGTGAGTAGCCAGAGCTCGGATCTGTGTAAGAAAGTAGATTACAATGAATAGTGAACTTCCACTACTGATTTATAAAGGTCTCCCTCTAAGTAGTTCATCAAGGCAGAAGTTCATGGTAGATGCATAATGTGAAAACTTACAATAAAAAAAGTGAAAATAGGAAGAAAAAATGGAAGCACAGCTTTTGGATATAGAGAGGGGAGGAGGCTTGAGGGGGTAATGGGATAAAATAAAATGTATTAAATGAAAGAAAAAAAGAAAAATTAGTAACAGGCAACTTGAGTGCTCCTCTCCCGCTTGTTCAGGGAGCTGCACAGGAAGGACACTGATGGAAATTATTATGAGCTCACTGCAGTCTTCCTTAGGCAAAGTACCAATCTTTCTGCTTAAAAGGTACTAGTGCACAGCTTAGTGGACCTAAGCTCTGTCTGATTTTCTCAGAGTTTTCAAAACTTTCATTCATACCAATACAAGCATCTCTACTGTTCTCTTATGACTACTATAATAAATTATCACAAATTGAATATCTTGAAAAATAGTAATTATTACTTGACCATTCTACAGGTGGAGGTTGAGAATTTAATATTAGTGGGCTAAAAATCAAGGTGTCAGCAGGGCAGTGTATCTTCTGGACCTTCTAGGGGAGAATCTGTTTTCTTGTATTTTCTGACTTCTAATGTTTTCCTTGTTCCTTGGCTTTTGGCTCCTTCTTTCATCTTCAAGGTCAACAATAGAGCATTTTCTAAAATCGGTTTTTAAAAAATCCTCTTTACTTTTCTTTTGGCCACCTATCCTATGGCCCTTTTCCTTTTATTTCCACCTTTTTTTCTATATGTAGATATACATTTAAGTTACTTGGATCAATTTCCTATTTATTATGCTGTCTGCTGGTATATAAATGCACAGTTATGTTGCTCTTAACATTTTTTTAAAAGCTTTGCTTCTTTCTCTTTAAAATGAAGACAGACATTACTGACACTCTTTTTAATAGATTCATGAGGAGATTCAGGTTTTGCTTGTTAGCCTTCAGTTTGGAATTTCCCTCCCAGTTTCTAGACTGACTTTTTTTGTGTTTTTTTTTTTTTTTTTTGTATCGGCGGGGATTGAACTCAGGACCTTGCACTTTCGAGGCAGGTCATGGCACCACTGAGCTACATCCCCAGCCCTAGACTGACTGTTTTGAAAGTTGTGGTCTCCATATTTTCCTAAAGGGAGGAATCTAGTGTTTTAATATCAGACCTAATTATGAAAAGATTTGTATTTTACAGCTTTGCTAAATGTCTTACATCATTACATTTTATAAAACAAGCATTAAAATGAATGTAATAAAACCTTTTATTGTTATAGTTGTTTCCTATTACTAATTTTGGGAAAAATCTGTCTATTCCTTCACAGTAATTGCTATTATTTTAAAACAGAAAAAGTTGTGTATATAGAATAATTGAAATATTACATTTGGAAGAGACAAGAAATGTTTCCTGGAACAGTATCTGAGAGTTGGCTGCATCTATACACATTTTGATTACAGAAGTAGAAATATATGTTGTGACAAAATAGTAAATTTACAATAAAAGTAAATAAAATTCTGTGAAATGTATTACCTAGGCAAAAAAAAAAGCCATCAAAAAGGTTTTTTTACAATCTTTCAGATTTTTATTATACATATGTTTAGATATATGAGATTAGGACTATCTGTCCATATGCTTTTAAAATATATTCTGTTCTCTAATCTATTCCTTTTCATGATATAAACTTTTTCCATATTAATTGGAGTTTTATTGGGTGCAGTATGTTGTATCATATGTATACAATGTGATTTATTTTTAAAACATTCTAAGAAACATTTTTGAAACTACTCAGCTTTCCCATTGCTCGGACAAAATACCCAACACTCACAACTTAAAAGAAGAGAGGTTTCATTTGGCTTACACTTTCAAAGTTTCAGTCCATGGTCAACTGGCTCCAAGACAGAAACATCATGGCAGAAGGATGTGGAAGAGCAAAGCTGCTCCAGGCAATAGGCAAGCAGAGCAGGGGAAACAGTGCCAGAAACAAAAAGGCAAGGGACATAGAATCCAAGGCCATGCCTCCATGACCCACCCAGTTACACCCAGATGCACCACCAATTCCCCAGGTGGATCCCAAAGCCAATCACTTGATATGCTACCCTAACTAGCACAGTGCCTGTAAGTATTTCCTTTGAGTAAACCCAGAAAGAGTAATCAATAGAGCAACAAATATTTTTATGTCTTTTGATTCATACTAGCAAATTTAGAAAAGTCAAGGTAAAACATCCTCCAGGTGTTCTCCTATGGCATAGTCCATGTCAGTCGCAGAGGTGGGGTGAGTTTGGAGGTCCCAGATAGTTATATTGAAAAGGCAGTTTGACAAAGTGGAGTTATTACCACACTTTTTTCTCTTCCCAACAAACATATTATTTTGATGTCAATATTATTTTTTTTAAATTTCAGGTTACCTCGCACCTCGAAACCTTCCTAGTACTGGATTCTTTCCATTTCTACAAACTCTACTCTGCGACACAGACTCTAAGTGCAAAGATACCCCCTACGGGCCACAAGATCTGCTTCGCAGAAAAGGGATCAATGATGGACTGTTTAAAGACAGGTGGGGCCACTTCCCAACTGTGTTGAGTTTTTTTGAGAGATTGAATATTTTTTTCCTTATGAGAAAACTGTCTTGTAAGTCTGTCCCGTAAATATTTACTACATTTTCCCTTGTGATGTAAATGTGAAAGAAAAGGGAAGTACATGTTGGAATCAGTATGATTATGTGAGATTGAGCATACTCTTTTTTGGGTGAATTACTCAAATTTTGCTCTTTTAAAAAGTTGCACTTTCTATCTCACGTCACGCTGTCAATGACATGTTGTCCTAAGACTCACTCACAAGCATAAGATAAGCTACAGGGGTATTATCTCCAAAAAGAATGACACATTTATATGACTCCAATGGTATTTCCAGATGTAATAAAAACCAGAAAGTGCAAGTAAGAAAATTAAGGGTCTCAAAATTCAAAGTAATAAAGATGAAAGTATACATAATTAAACAACCACCTTTAAATTAGGTTAACGAGAGCTCTGTTTTATGAGGTGAAAAGCTGCTAAAGAATGAAGGTAGGAAATCTAGACCATTTATAGCCTTATCTTTTACAACTACAATCTTCCTTCTTGCAATTCTACACCTAAAAATAAATCCCAGGAGCCTACTTGTTTGTACAACTGAAAGCAATATTATAATTTTTAGCTGTATGTCCTTTTAGTAGTACAGTTTAGGTACACAGTATAATGACATTCATCATTAGAAATTTGCACCCTTACATAATCTCTCTTGGTTCTTATTTTTCCCCCTTCCCCTGCCTCCCTTTAACCCCCCCATCCCTCCCTATTTACAAAGACTTTGTTTCCATTTTTTCATTTTCTCATATTAATTCCATTCCCTTCTTTCCTTTTCCCTACCCCTCCCACTTCCCCTTCCCCTTTGCCCCTTTTCTTCCTATTTCACATTATCTATTATACCTTTTAGTCCTTATTTACACTTTCAGTTTCTCACACTAGAGAAACTATTCCGTATTTACACATGTATGTCCTATTTATTTCACTTAAGAGAGCAATATTATAATTTTGAGCCAACCATGAGATAAGTCTGTTAGGAAATGTTTATATAGTAACTGCTGAAAAATATTACACTTGTGTATAATCAGAGATATTTGGTTCCTAAACTTAAATAGTAAATTCCTTGGCATGTAGCTCAATTTTTCCTCTAATGACATCATCACGATTTTGGTCACCAAATATTATGGCTAATATTTTAAGAGAGAACAACTGCAAGCTGCTTAGCACAAAATGTGAACAGGTCAAGAATTGTAAAAAAAAAATAAGAACCAAGAAAGTATGTGAAGGTGCATATCTCCATTTCAAGCACCATGATACAGAGGTGAATAAGATAATTTATCTAGCTCTTTGTTACTTGCATTTGAGTAAAAGATGATACAAAAAAAAGAACACTCAAATGTATAAATAATATAATAACATAATAATTATGCCAGTTAGAAAATAAAATAAGTTAAGAGGTAGTAAATTAAAAGGTAAGGACTGAATATGTTGGCAAGAGGGCTGGAGGTGCACTGTAGTTGAGTAGAAGGGAGTTTCCTTAGTGTATGAAAGCCCTGGGTTTGGTCCTAGTAGTGAAACAATGACAACAACAACAAGAACAAAATAAAAAAAACCATAAGAGGGTAGTAAGAAATATCCTCTGCTTGAAGGTAACTCTTGGGTAGAGACCAGCAAGATGAGGAGGCACCCTTAGCAGCATGTGAACATCTGGAAGAGAATGATCCAGAGGTGGGGACAAACCTGATCATTCAGAGGATCAGAAAGTCAGCTAACATGGGAGCAGCATTGTGAGGGATGATCAAAGGGGAAGGGAATGTGTTGACAAGGAACACAAGAGAAAGGGCATAAGGATCAGGGAGGAAGAGGTAAGAGGATTAGTATTTTTAGTATAATGAGAAGCCATTGGGAAGTTTTAAGCAGGAAAATGACATGAGGTACTGTTATGAGAATAGCATGCTATAGATGAATGCAAACATTATATCAGTGTGTGTTTCTGTAAGAGATCAAGTCCGTCTAGACCTTATACCCTCTGGTGTAATCAGTGTAAAGGTGAGGTGAAAGGACGAATAGTATTCTCTTGTTGCTGTAGAGGGGAGATTCATTCAGTCATCCCTGCATGAGTGACGAATTAGGCATGATTTATACCAATGTTTCAGCCGGGGAAGAAAAATATTAAATCAATAGCAATAATAGGAGATGGTACAGTGAAGAGTGCCAGAGGATTTCTAAGCCACATTCTTTTCATACTCAGAATAGAAAGAGAGCTTTCACCCAGAGTAATGACAACAACAACAACAAAAAGCAAACCAAACCAAAACAAAAAATAACCTTCCTGAAGAGGTGTAATTGAGATGGACATTTTGTGAACCAAGGCTTAAAAGATATGTGGAAAACATTAATACACATCATTTACAAGTTGAATAGTTGGATTACAGTCCCACGTGGTAATTTCTTCTTTATACCAGTTTTCCTTCATGAAGAACTGTGAAGGGAATAATTAATAACACACATGTGCAAGCATGCACACATGTCTACACACAGTAGATAGTGTATAAATGTACTTCCCCCCAAAGGAATATTTTTTCCATGTGATTGTATAGTGAATCTAACTCATTAGAGTTGAGTGAGATATTACATTGGTTTTGAAAGTAGGATTAAAGTCCAAGTTTCTTTTCTGCTGATTATTCTCTAGAAAGCTGGTCATATCTACATTTTTTACTTTTATCCTAACCTCCAGGTAATTTGTCTAGCTCAAGTTGTATATTGTTGTATATTCAGTATTTTCTTTTGAGCTACCAAGTAATAGTAGCTTAATTTAGGAAATTATGTAAATAATAAATTGTGTTAATGATATTCCCACCATGTTATTAACTTTTATGCTTTATATAGCCCTGCAATGAAACTGGTACACAGTTACTGGGTAAGCCATTTCACTAAATTGCTTCCTCCTGGTGAAGGAAGATTCAACAGTATAGCTTCATTAAGAAACAAAAAAGTCTTCTTTTTCTGTTTTGTAAGGGAAAAAAAAAGTGTCACTTTCGTTTTCATCAAAAGAGGCCCACCATGTTTCTTTTAATAGACTGCTCTTTTAGAAGACAGGATCACACTGCAGACACTACTTGCTGGCCAGCAGCCAAGTGTTTTGATGTGATTTTGCTTTTGGCACCAGCTTTCTGTTATTAAATTCATACTTCTCTAGGTATTAGCTTCAGGATGAGGTGCTTTAAAAAATCCAACACTACCTAGAGATCTGAAAAAAGAAATGACCATATTTATGGTTTTCTTGCTCTTTTGCACAATAGATGATCTGTCATCACAGATCTTACCCTTGTCCTTCCCCTACAGTGCCTCTAGGAATACATCAAACAGTGGGAGCCCCCGGGTATACGATTGTTCACACAGTTGGTGCGTGGCAGAGATCATTCCCGAGGGCTCTTGAGGTCATTATTTGGAGAAGTGATTCAGCAATCCTGCGGAGTCTGGGAGAAATTGCCTCTACAGATGTGCTCCTTATCCTGGTTGACACTCATCATGAACCATGGTGGCTAAATTCATACCTTTGCTCCTATTGTACAGCTCCCACAGAACTTGAAAAATAGCTAATCCAACTTTATTCAGGGATAACTTTTAATGAGTCAATGGTTTTATTTAATATTGAAAAATATAGATGAGTATAGAAATTAATCTGAAGACATTATTGGGAATGTAAGACAAGTGGATGTAAATCAGGTGTCTGAACTCACTTGACTACAAAGATGAAATAGGATATATAGATCTCATATGGTTTTAATTTTGAACTATAATCATTTAGTTATAACTATAACTATAGTTATATAACTATAACTTTAGCTAGAATTAGTGTAAAAGGAAAGGTGAAAAATAAGAACCAAGAGAGATTATGTAAAGTTGCAAATTTCCAATGATGAATGTCATTATATTGTATACCTAAAATGTACCAATGATTAGAATGAATAATTGATATTGCAAAATAGGAAGAAAACGTCCAAAGGGGTAGGGGTAGTGGGAGGGACAGGGGAAAGGAAAGAAGGGAAAGGAAAAATGATGAGAAATGGAAAAAAATGGAAATAAAGTATTCCATTTTGAAAGGAGGGCTAGGAATGGGGAAAAAATAAGAACCAAGATGCATCACGTAAAGGTACAAGTTCCCAATGAGAAATGTAATTGTGTTGTATACCTAAAATGTACCAATAAAAGAATTTAAGAAAAACATAAAAATTTTAAACAATTCATTTTCTAAGAACAAACAGGAAGAGTATATTAATTGTCATACAGCCCAAACTGTTCATTCATTCAATGAGAATGATTGCATATTGAATTGTACAATGTGTTGGAAACTATGCAAGTCACTGTAGATACAGAGATGAATAAGACACATTTCGTGCCCTGCAGAATTTACAACCAAGTGGGAAAGAGAGACAAGACAATTAGTGAATTACTTATAACCTGGTAAATGTGATGAGTATTTGTTTAGCTCTCACTGTGCCAACATTAAAAACAAATGGAGAATAGTTACACAGGTTTCTTAAGACATTCTTTGCACCTGGGGAGTGTGGGTCTTACTGTTGGGTGGATTATTGGAATGGAGGCAGGTTTGGTGGGGGAAGATGCCTGTACTCTGCTCCCAGAGGCCTTTAAGGGTATGATCAGAAGGGTTGGCTACGATGTGCCCTAGCAGGATAAAAGAAGGTATATTTGAGATAGGCCATGGAGAAAAAAATCTCAGAACTAGGGGAAAGAGAAAAATAGAGGGAGGTACCCTCATAGTAGATATAATGGAATATGTACATAGTGTTGCTTCTAACTGTGATGGAAACAGTACCAATTTCTTAGCAGGGTTGACAAATTAATCTGCCTGTTTTTGTAGCTGCATAGAACATAATTTGCACACGGTCATCGGGAAGACCCTGTGAATTATCTCCTCCCTATTCCACGTGTTCTTAATACACATTCATCTCCTAAAACATTTCTTCATCTGCCCACAGAGTGCCTCTAAAAACTTAGAAATCAATGTGTTCATGTTACATAACACCAGTCTTTCCTAAGAATATAAAAGACTTTAAGACAGGCTAAATTAAAGCACTTCTCATTTTTTTTATTACAGCTGGGCCACTAAGAGAGAGATATGTTTTGAAGGAGGACAAACCCAGATTATATCTGGAGCATGGATGATCTTTAAGAATAAAGGTCAGGATGAAATCCAAGATCATTAGAATTTTCCTATGAGTGTCTTGCTGTGGGATAGCCAGGAATGATGGCTATATCAAATACTGAGAGATCCTCAATGACTAGCTGAGGGGCCTGAGTATCTAGTCAAAGTCAATGACAAATGTCATCTGGAGCTGACACCAAAAGTGAGCTTAGAGCCTATTTCACATCTTCTTTCCAGATATCACTACATACTGATATAAATATAATTCTGAGGAAAAGGGGAAAATATGTAGAAAAATTTAACCCTTAGAGACAAAAAAAACCTTTCTTTCCAGAAGCTGCCATATGTCTGTTTCCTAGCAGGGATTCCATTTATAGACAGAACTTACCATGACACACACAGATACCACCTATCCAGGTACTTTTTCCCTCTCACAGGAAAAACTGACATCCAGTATAAGTGCATAAATTCTACCTTTATGGTAGTATATATAAATGTGACATTTCCCAAATGTAACTGTTAGTAGACATGTCTGAGAAGAAGTCAAATCTATTCTGGGTTTAGTTTTCCTCCTAGTGTAGTAGAATTCTTAAAAACAAGATGTTTCCTGTATTGGATTCCTCTCCAAAGCATGCTCCATAAATGCCACTGAGGCAAAGTCCTTGTCTGCAGCATCTTCAAGGAAAGGTCCTTATCCAACCCCATGGTAATTCACATGCAACTTAGTCCAATAAAAGTTGGTTGAATGATACCATGGATCACTTGATGATTTGAGTCAGGCATTCTTGGCTCACTGTCAGAGTTGAATTTTCTAAAGTCAGATGGGCCACTGTGTCAAATTCATGGGGCATCTTGGGCTTATATAATGCTTTAATATACATCTCAGAAATATCCAGCAAGAGATAGATTTTATATGACTTCCTCAGAGCTATTTAGAGGTCCTGAATAGAATTTTTAAGTCTCTTGAGTTGGTCTTGGGGAGTGAGAATGGGGAAAAGTCGTCACTGAATGATTTCACATATTTATCACAGTCTAAAGCAGGGTTTCCCAGCCTGGACACTATTGATACTTGAGGGGGATAATCCTTTCTCATGTTGTACTTTTGTAGGGTGTTTAGCAGCATCCTTAGCCTCTACCTGCTATGTATCATTAGTACTCTATCCCTTACAATTATGATGGCCAACTATGTCTGTAAACATTGGCAAATATTCCCTGCAGGTGCAGGTAAGATTGTCCCTGGAAAAGAACCAGTGGTCTGGTGGAAAAGTGAAGGAAAAATGTTAAGGTAACAAAAGTCTTGAGATAGGGTTGTGATTCTAAGGAACATAATCTACAAAATTACTGGAGATAACTCAGAGTTAGGGACTCTGCCACATACATGTTCTGACCATCTCCTGTGCATGTCCTTACTCAGCCACGGCCCTTAATGTATTGTAGCCCTTAATTTCCTTATTTGATTTGCTCATTGTAATACATATAAAAGGGATTTAATAAATGTTGATGAGTTAATAAATGAATATGGCAGGTACAGTATAAGATTCCCTGGCTGTTTCCTCTTCCAAGGAAACTTGCAGAATCAGCTGTACATCCATGGAGAGCAAGCCAAAGCCATTTAGAAAATATGCTTCTTCAGTCATTAGTTGTTTCAAGTGACACTCTTTATTACCAAGTACACAGTGCTTGCCATGTGCTTAAACAGCCTACCATCTGCTAATGCAGTACACTGTAGACTTTTCTCAAGAATCTGCCAGTGTGAGAAGGGGAAAATTGATCATTACTACTAACAGAAATTTCTTTCATACATTGATAATGAAATTTTTAAAACTCATAAAATGAAGGAGTTATACAACCCTGGGAAAGGTCCTATGCCTCATCCTAATTTGCTAGTCAATGTATGCAGGTTCCAGAACTATAAAATAATAGGGTGTATCCGTTCTGCATTCTTGAAGGTTCTAGAATTCTAAATGGATTACATCTTTGACAAAAAGCTAATGGCAGTGAATGCCTGCGATGACTGGGCCCACACAGACACATCTCTCACAACTTTATAAGATAGGTGTTTGTGGTCCTAGTGTGTACATGAGAGAGACAATGACTGAGATCTTTCAGGAAGAGACAGAGCTGAAATTCCAAAGAGATCCTCTAACTCCAGAGTTTTTTCTGCCCCACCACAGCTTTATAGTCTATTTATTCAATCAGCCATCAGATCTTCTAGTCCAGTACTTACTGTGCTATGTATTGGGAATTTAAAGAATGATACCCGGTGTCTGCTCCCAAAGATATCACACCCTAGAATGGAGAAGTAGTGGCAGTAGATACATATGGATATAAATAAGTTTGTGCAAAGTAATTGTGTGAAATAATGGAAAGGGTACTGCCAACCATCACACTAAGAACTATATAGTTCTTTGTCTAGAAGCATGACCATACTTATGAGAAAGTTCAGAGAGCAGCATTAGTTCCATGAGACTGGCTTTCTTCTTGGGCTCCCTTAATAATTTTACAGAATTAATTAACTTTGTTTGAGGGAAGTAATTTGTATTTCAACTTACAGCCTTAATTTACATTGCTTACCCATATACTCTCTGTTGCTCATTTATTTTGTGGTTTCCATTTTGTGTAAAGAAAATAGTTTTGATGTCTAATGGGAGTGGACACATGCCATTACACCACACTTTGTAAATGCAAAATAAAATTGAGGATATTTTTCAGGAAGAGGAGAAGCAAAATACCCAAGATATCCCAAACCCTCACTTCCACAAAGAGGTCACATAATAGGATATGAGCAACTATGTCACCATGGATTCTTCCTGGTCTAGGACAGGTCATCTTAGAAAGGAAGCCTGTTCCTTGTCAGGAGCAGTCACTTTACTGTTGAGGCAGCTCAGACCTGCTGAGTCAGCTGCTTATTGGGAAGGAAATTAGCTTGTGTTTTGTGTTGAAAGAATATTGGTAAGAATACTAGAACATGAGAAGATCAATGAATTGTTCTCTGTGAATCAGATGCAGCTTTTGCTTCTCCATTAGTATGCTTCTTTAGATTTCAGTCACCTCTTCGATCACTTTTTCTGCTTTGTTTTGTTTTCTTTCCCACATCTATTTATTATTCAGTCTATTTTCTCTTGCTCAATCATTGCTATTTTGTTCTTTGTCATTTTCTCTTTGGTTTTGTTGCTGTCTCTAGCCCTTAAAATTTTTATGAAGATGGTTTTTTCATTTTATTTTCAAAATGTGTTGATATTCAGTAGTCTTCCTTATAGTATTACAAGGTGAATTGAAAAAAAATTCAAGGAAAAAAAAGAAAACCCAACTTTCTCAAACTTTCTCAAACTTCTTTTTGAGAGAAGGAACAAGGTTCAGGTCAGTTCTTATTTTTATCTGAATGGTTTTCCCAACGAAATAGTCAGCATAAGGAATGTAAAAAGATTTAGGGGAATACAGTCATGGTCATGAATAATTCAAATATGTATTAAAATGCAGAACTTTCAGAACAACTAGTACATTTTAAGAGGAATATTGAAAAACACTAGAGAAGAGAGATAAATATTATCACCTCTTATCATGAAATGAATGTATAAAAAGAATATGCACACAAAACATAATTATTCATTTTAAATCACAAAGATCTTGTTTCTAAAACAGAGTCAAATTGAACCACCGTAGTAGGTAGAAATTCTTGTTATCTTTGTGTATTTTAATTATGCTTTTTAATAAGTGGTTATAGAAAATTCACCAGCTCCCCAGAATTCTTAAAATTATTCATTTTAGGTTTTTGTATTGATTTCACCTATGATATGTCTACAATTTGTTTCAGTCACTTTTATGTACATTCAGCTTTTCAAGAAAATATAATTATCTGTTTCCATAATCAACTAAACAGAAAGTGAATTTTTAAAAATGAGGATTACTAAATTGTGGGAAGACTCAATAATATTTTCTTCCAAAAGCTAGTGTGATTGTATTGTACAGAAATTCCTGGTACCACAATGCTATTATAATTGTACTGACACATTCCGTAAAACTGAAAATCAGTTCTGACGTTATTCCTTTCATATCTGGCATAACCCAGTTTTCTCAAAAGTAAACCCAACCAGTGATGACACCAATCACAGTTCCTGGAACATACTAGATACTGAATAAATGTTTGGCTTTTTCCTTCTTCCTTGAATCTGTTTATAAGTGTTAATCAACTTTGAAAAATCTTTAACATGACATCATAATTTAACATAGTAAACTTGTTTTTCTTTAATTGTTGACAAATAAGTAGGCCTTTGTTTCAGTCTCTATAATACTCTTGTACTCTCACCTATTTGGAATGCATCAACTTTTGAAGCCAAAATGTCATAAATATCTTCAATATTTAACTCTATTTTCTCAACCAACTTCCTTTCTACAAGATTAAAACAAAAATTACTATGTATAAACTTTATCTAGGCCATTTTCTCTGACTAAAAATTTACCTTGTAGGAGACTTTATATATTCTTTGGTGTATAGTTAGAGGACTTCTTCCTCATTGTCCTAGAAGGTAGATGAAAAATGTGGAAGTTATTGGACAATCTGGAATCTGTCACATAATACACTACTTTAACTTATTGAAGAAGAAATTATAGAGTTCTTGCTTTTTCTTTTCTAGTGAACTTATGAAAAAATCATCCAACCCAAAGAAGAACAGCAATTTACCACTGCAGAGCACCCAAGTTCCCGACAGAAGTCATCCATCGCTGGGTAAGCTAACTCTGTCCTGTGGAGTTTACAATAGGCCTTTTGGAACCAGGAAGACCTAATCTCTAAAAGGTTTATACTTCAAATTTTCCAAACAGGTGGAATGGTTAGAATATCCCCAAGAGATCCAAATATTCCTCATGGTTTCCTGAATGTGGTGGTATAATTATGCAAAATTCTTCAGAATAATTTCAAATTAAGTTCTTACTGAAATATTCTATACGAGCAGAAGCTTAGATGTTAAGAATTTCACCACTTCCGAGAATTGACTCTGGACCTTGAGTTGTCTACAATTAGATGATCTTGGGAGGTCAAGAAAACCCAGTAACAAAATTGTTAAAAAGTATTTTAGAGATTTGTCCAATCTTTCCATTTTACAGATGAGGAATCTAAGGCTCAAAAATGTTAACTGCTGTGTCAATAGTCTTGCAGAAGAATTGTTAGACTAACTTCTTGGCCACTGCTCTCTGAGCTGTATGCCTCTTCCTCCCACTTAATGCTCAGTTTCACGGTCTTCAGTGTGGTTCTTTATTTGGTTCACAACTAGAAGAGTAGCTCTCCAACCTTTTTTGTATAAGAAACCTTCCTGAGTTACTCCCTAAAAACAGTGCTTCCCAGGCATTACACCTAGGTGATGCTGATGCTTGTGGTCTTGAAATCTGTCTAAAATCTAAAGCTCTAAAGCCAGCAGACTATTTTACATTCACTTGAAAAATATTTATTGGGTGCCTGCTCTCATGTGCTGCAGTGTCCTAGAGACTGAGGATGTATTAGTGAACAAAATAAATATTGTGTGCTGGAATATAATAGGTGCTGAGGGGGAAAAAGAGAATCTTTTAAAATGCCATGAAATATTTAAGACACTACAATATTAAATAACTTTCCAATACAAGTTGATGGACCAAATGAAAGAAGTCCTAGGTTAATGTAGTAGGAACATGATGGTGAATGGTTTTGAAGAGCTAATGTTCTGTTAGGAATCATCTGTGGATGTGTAGCTGAGTAGGTTAAAGCACAGTGGAAATGAGGTCATGGACTTACGGTCCAGTAAGCTTTGCTTCACTCAGTAGGCACAGATTATGTTTCTCCCTCCGGCCAGTTATCTCACACATGTATTGCCTTGGCCTAGAAGAATCAGCCCCATAGGCACTAGGAATAATTACAGGCCCTAATGATGAATTATTGGTATCTTGAATACTAAGACTCTTTGTGATGATAACAAATATTTAGGTACAAAATTTATAAAAATCAACATACTGGCTTACTGAACATCCGTGATGTCAATATGAATGCACACTTCTTGTAGCTAATGCTCTAAACCCAGAAAATTCCACCATATTATAAATAGTACTAGACTAGGCCACTTTGGGAATTGCTTAATTAGAATATACTGTAGTCTGAACTAATTGCTTTATCCCATTTATTTGATCTGAAATATCATCCAGAAACCACTTTGGGGAGGAGAGAATTTATGATCCTAAGCAGATTTCAGCATCCCAATTGGATAATTAAAAAGAAAGACCATTATCACCAGATGTGCATTGGCAGATCCTTTAAACAGATGTTGGATATAATAGATCTTTGGAGCTAGTAGAGACACTTCAAATCCTTTAGGCCTGCACAGAAATGTTTCCCTTTATGGGGCAATAATATTGATGATGAAGTTTAATGACATAAACTGGAATGAAAATAAATGATGTATAAATGGGGGAAACAACAGGAGCAAACCAAAACTGCCACAATTTTATGTGGAAAGAAAACCTATGGAATTTGCCATTTTGCCAATATCAAAGTTTCATGAAAGGCATATTTAACCACATTCTTGCTGTGGGGTTTATGAGGAGAGTTAAAGGAGAGTGATGGATTCTTATGTGATCCTGCCCATTTTTGCGCATGTGTTTAGAATTCTAATTTGTTCTTTCTTCTCTAGCCACAGTATTTCCCAGTCCAAGTTCTGATTTGGAAACTACTGGAACAATAACTTTCAATGGTAGTCAAGTGCTTGAATGGATCCTTGGTTTGGAAAAGGTAACTTCATTTAGTTGTGTAATGGGCAGAAAGTAAAGAGGTTAATCAAACACCCGTTAGGTTCGTAGCAGGATCTCTTACATAGGAAGACATTTGAAGCACCTTTCCCATTTAAATGATATTTCAGGCACATTCCTTTCTTAGGCGTTCTTCCACAACAACCTAATTTAAGATGTGGCAAATTTCTTCAGTTCTTGATTATTTATTTTCCTTCCCGGTAAGTCTCTTAATTGAATTTAAGGTTTTTATTTAGTAAGAAATTAGGTGGTCTCATATATGATCTTTTAATTTTCTGAAGCAGAGAAGAAAAGCTGAAGCTTTAGCATTCTTGGAATTTGTTGCCTCATCCATATGAAAAATGTCTTTGGGGAAATTAAAGCTATGGAAAATATCTCCTCTACGTAGGAAAATCCTCTTAGCACATTTTCTAAATTTTACCAATGGATTTTTCATTTCCTAGTGATTACTTTATGATTTCCTAGATTGCAAGATAAATATAATTTTTATAAGAGGTGTGAACTAGGGCCGGGGATTTACCTCAGTGGTTCTGCCGCCTGCCTTGCAAGTACAAGGTCCCGAGTTAGATCCCTGGTACCAAAAAAAAGAGGTACAAACTGGTAGCCTGTGAGCTAAGTGTGTGTGTGTGTGTGTGTGTGTGCATGTGTGTGTGTATACAGGGATTTTAGGAGATTAAATTTGAATGGCTGTAAGCAGAAAGTACTCTTCTGTTAACTACAATCCCCACTTAACCTTGCTGTCTCACAACCAGTCAGATTCATGCATTGAAGTTATTTGGCTGGCCTGGATGGTGGACATTGAGTCTTGCTTTATAGTCTCTTCAGAAATGATGAGAAGATCATTTGATAATTTTCAACATGGTGCATTAGAAATATTATCGTCTCTCTTCTATCATACTTATACATATATTTTAATAATTCATCCACATACCAATAATTTTTTTCATCTAAATGATGAGACACTTCTCTGACCTTTATTCACATTCTGGTAACTATAACCACTACTGCTTAATCTATCTTTGTTAGTGACCCTTAAATTAACACTCTGTCAACTCTGAAACATCTCAGTAAGCTGAGTCTCAAAGAGCGTGGCGCAAGAGTGGATGCCAGGAAATGGTACCATACTCACCCAGGGAAATCCACAATTGCCGGCTGAGATAGACTCTTCCATTGGGATAGTTCAGGTGCTGAGTCTAGTTTATATAATATTTGAGGTCTCTAAAACTCCCTGCCTGACTGAGGAATCTCTTCTACATGCCCAATTAATTCTACTCTAAAATTTTCCCTAAATTAGACCTAAAAAGTAGGGAAAATTATTCTATTGCATTCATTTCATCCATATTAGTTCCTAGAAAAGTCTGCATTAGGTGCATAAATTCTATAATAATGTAGAATTGGTGACACTAGTCTCAAAAGTACAGTTTTATTGTGTCAAAACTCCCTAGTTCTCTTTTTTATATGTAATGAAATTTCAGAATTTTGTGAACCAGTACAAAGCCATACATCCAGGGGAGATAAGCAAAAAAGAAATGAATTTTATATGTATAGATACATATTTTTAGAGTAGTTGGAGCAGGGAAGGGATGTAAAAATTAGGATGACATATTGTTGCTTATGTCAGCAATCCCTCAGATTCTTCTCTCTTTTTCTTTACTGCTTTGTGCAACTCTTGCAAGAATGAGTAGAGAAATCACTTGGGAGTGAGTTTATGTGTAATGCTAGACAAAGATATGGATGAATTACTAGAAGACCTAGCACTTATAGTACATCCTAGATAAGTGGATCCTTTCTTGTTCCATTATATTTAGAAGTTCAGTTGCTGGAAGGCAGAGTGTGGATTTTGTGATATAGTTTTAAGGGGAAAATGAAGTTGGACTTCACCTCACTGCAACTAAGTATATGTAGTCCACTCTGTGACTACTTCAACAAATGAATGGCAGTGAATGTGACCATATTATGGATAAAAAGCTTACTGCATCTGTGACTAATCTGCACCTTGGAATATATAGGGGGGTTATAATGATTCTATTATGAAAATAATTTTTCAACTATTGCTTTTGGTTATTATACTTATGTTATATGTTAATATACTTTTCCTTTCTCTGCATATGAAAATGAAGTGAAACATAATCCATTTCCCACTTCTGTAAATAAACACATTTGTTCTTAAGAGTAGACCTTTGAAGTTCCCTCTTCTGGAAATCTTCAATTTTCTAGGAATTAATTTTCAATTAATTCATCACAAAGAAGATACTTGAGCTTCTGCTGCTCAATGCCCAGAAAAATGAATAAGACTTTTTTGCATTAAAAAATTGATGCATTTAGGTTTTCTGGTCAATACAGGAAGTAAGTTCGGTTAAACAAATCATATGTTAACTATTTAAATAATACAATAACAAGACTTACCACATCCATACATACTCTCCACACCTTCCATTGCCTAAATGAGTTGAATTTTATTTATTTCAATAGTTGCTATAGTAACACAGGACTTTTAAAATGGTTATTGTGAAGAAAGGTCAGTTTTCTTAAAGACTAGGATGTTTTAAAAATCTACATTTACTAACATCATCCCACTTTTCTTATATGTTTTTAGCTGATAAACAAAAATTCAACCTCAGAAGATGTACGAAAAGAACTGTGTGAGAGCTATCCAGGACACAGGGCAGATTATACCTTCTCTTGGACCGCTCTAGGAAAAAATATTTTAAATAAATTTTGCCTTTCCAACATGACACTTTTAGAGTCTTCTTTCCAGGAAATAAAAGAACAGTTTTCTCAGGTGAGTGTAGATCTCCTATTCTGTTCAAAATCTCATAAGCTTTTGGGGCAGGTGCACTGTTTCCTTTCTTGGATCCACAAAATGCCTCAACATGAATCAGAGAGGGAGTTTGTAGTCCAAACGGACTGGGAAATGTTGCATACATTCCTCACATTGACATCTGCACCCAATGTTTAATATTAAGTAATGCTCACTTATCATTTAAATGTGCAGGATTGAAATGATTTCAAAGCTGAATTAGAAATATTGCATTATGGTTAGTGGAGACACACCTTTGTAGATGAAATATGACTTTGCTCTATGGTGAATAAAAATTGCCTGTTTTCTCTCAGATCTGTGAGAAAGATTACTCAGAATACAATGCAAGTTTAATAATTAAACTATCAGAGCCATAAAACTACCAGAAGTTAGAATAATGTCTTTTCCTTTTCTCATTGACCTCAAACCTAATTTTCACAAGGTGAATTTTGATGAAACTATATATTCCTCTCACTAAAATATTATACATTAGAACCAAAGACATCTACTATAGAATGCTAATGACCACTTGTGGATACTACTCTTAAATGAAGATGATGAAAATAAGACACCAATGATCTCTATTTATTGAAACCTACATATAGTGAAATATCAAAACACTCAGAATTGTTTTGAAATTATACACCAGAATAAATAAACTATGTCTACTTCTAGTATTTTAAACTTAAACCTATGAATTTTATTAAAATTTTTAAGATATTAAAAATTATCTTTCAGTAATCTGAGTTTTCCAAAAGAACCAGGTAAGAGACATTATGTAATAACCTCAATCCAATATAAAGCACTCCAAATCCTTTCTTAACAAATTTGCCAATTGTGTAGAATACACTATGGTCAAAATACATGTTTAAAATTATTCTGTTAATATGAAAGACCTTGAATTAAGACAGATTGAAGGCTCAATTTTACAGTGTTAATGAGCATATTAAGAAAATTTTTTTGAGTTGAAATATAATGAAGAAACTACTTTACCTCTGAAAGCACGAGCTGGATTCCATGGTCTAAAACAAGACCAAAAGTCATGTTTTTTGTTTGTTTATAGTACAGCGTATGATTATTACATAGGTTCTCTCAGTTCTAATCAGCATTATAACAAAAGCACCTGGCATTGCAAACAGAACTTTGGAAATATTTAACTGCATTAAAATTCTAATAGTAAACATTTTTGTGAATATATTTCTACATATGATAAATATATAATGTTTATTAGGAATATATCTGTACTATATTTCTATATCTTTTTTAAAAATACTTTTATTGGTACATTTTAGGTATACAACACAATTACATTTCTCATTGGTAATTGTCCCTTTACATAATGCATCTTGGTTCTTATTTTTTCCCCATTCCTAGCCCTCCCTTCA